CATAGCCAGAGTCACTCAAGAAAAACTGAAAACAAACCAAGTAACAGGAACTCGGCATCCAAAAATAACCGCACATCTGTCATTAGCGGTTTGGTTGCTCTTAGGGAATCACAGTTCAACAAGGTCATAATCTGTTCCTCTGTGAAAACCATTTGATTTTCAAAGGGAGAACAGATTTTAGCAAAATTCTAAATGTAAACCAAAGACTTAGGAGTTGAGAGTTGTGATGGTTTATTACCTGGGTACATTAAGCATTGCATTGGACAGCATGCTGTTCTTTGGTGCTTTCAGCATTTGGTGGAACCTGCAGCTCCTGCTGTAATGTCAGCCTCAGTGCCAAGGTCATGAACAGGTGTTGAGTCCTTGCATGCTGGGGTATTTTTCTTCTGACTTTAAGAATAGCATCTTGTCTTGCTCCCAGGGTCGTTATTCAGCTTTGCAGCTGGCCACGGTGGAGGCAGCAGACAAAAGAGGAGGCCTTACATGATTTACCCAAATTCTGTACTTGGTCTTTCTGAACTCTACCTTGATTTTATTAGTGTGTGACTTCTTATTTACAAGAAAACTTCCTTTTTTTCCAAAATAACCCTTTACTCATATGTTGGGACCTTGAGCCTGAGCAACAGATGGGACCCATTGTCATTGTGAAACACAGAGCTGGACACTATTTGGCAAGCACCAGCACCAGCACAAAATGATATTTGTGCAGTGGGATCAAGGCCAAGCTCTGGGAAAGCTCATCAGCACAGAAGTTCATAAAAACACAAAACCACAACTGGGAATGAAGTGCAATGCAAATATCTACTGTGTGATATGGAAGCACTTAAAGCTGGGAGGGCTTGGTCTGCTTCAGGATGTGGTCTCGTGTAACTTGTAGGCTTGTGTAGGCAAGATAAAGCATGATGGTCACTTCCATGGGAGCAGTTCTCTTGGCCTCTTCCACCTGCAAACCTGTAGCACAGGCTTTGTATTTTATATTAAAAAGTTGAAGAAAATTCTTATTTTTGTATAAAAAATAACACATGGCCAAGGACCGATACAAGCCAGATCCTCACTTTGGGAATCATACCCTGCAATTACACTTAGAGGCTTGTCCAGTCCCACCAGACTAATGCTTCATGCACATTTTTATATGCTTCCCATACAGGTTGTCCTACATGATCAAATATAATGCTTTTATGGACTTAATCTGCACAAAATTCCATGTTTAAGTCTCACCTATCATGAGCAGAAAAAGCTAGAATAGGTGTTTTCCTGTGGCTGCCCACCGAGCAGAGTTAATTACACACACACCTGGTCAACCTGCACTTTTTCAACAGCTTGTGTTGTCTTCCTGCATTCTCTCTGGGTGATAAAATATCTCAACAGTGGGGTTTGGTAGCTCTCAGCAGCCCTTAGAGCTCCTCAGATTCCTTCAAAGTTCTCAGGAGCTCCTTAATCCAAAAGCAGAAATCTTCCTCATGGTTGCCTTCCTGGTCAATTTATACCAATGTAATTTGTCATCTAAGGTCTAACACTCTTTGCGTTCACTGTGAACTAATTCTACTTATCTGAAGACTCAGGTTTTCAGATGGTGACAGTGGAGGACTGGAAGCAGCAGGGGGGACAGTGGCTTTTATCTTCACTTTTTAATGCTACTGGCCAAAAATTTCTTGCTGTTTCCTTTAGCTTCCTTGTTATTAACAACTTCTAACATCTCATTCACATCCATGTCTCTCCACTTGCTATTTTCATCTCCTGCAGACTGTTTTGAGGCTTCATTTCGTTTAAGTCGTGAGTTTGACTTCCCTTCTATGTTCACTTGTCTTTTTCACCATACTAGATTATAGAGTTAGAAGCAACCGGTAAATCATCCTTGAGCAAGTCCCAGGAAACTGAGACCAAGCAGGAGCTAATTCCCACATCGATGCCATTTCATTTTGTGTCAAGTTGATGTTCAATAGATTTCATCTGGCTCCAGGATACATTCAAAGTGGAATTAGCATCTATAATATTTAGCAGTTCCAAGAATATTTCATAATTCTGACAGACTGCATCACCCTCAATCCTGCCATGGCAAACAAGCTTTACCCTGTCTCTCTATTGCAGATGGCAATTCAGATGCTCAGGGAGATGTGTTTGCTCTCTTGTTTGTGCCAAACACTACTATTTCTGTTTGTTTTTTTTTTTTTTTTTTCCTGGAAGGACACTGACCTGCTGACATTCAAGAGCATTGTTCCCTTCCTCATCACAAGCTTTCCGCAGCTCTGTGATAGATACATCTGTAACAAGAATGATCCTGGATGTCACATGCCTTTCTAAGCAGGTCTTCAAAATCAGCATTGTAAAGTACCAGAAGAGCCATCCCACCCAACCTCAGTTTGCAGGTAGAATCTCGTGGCATTGGTATGATACAGCTTCACAGGTGGCCTGGTATTGAGCAAAGGCTGGTCTAGAAGCCTCCGACAGCTCTTCCGACCTAACTTATTTTCTGATCCTAAGTCCCATCCTCCCTCCTTTGCTATACACTTCTTCATGTTCTCAAGTGCTTTAGTTCACTTCCATGTCACAGTGCTCTGCTAAATGGAGGTATGGCTTCTGAATCACCTCCTTTGGAAACACTATAGTACAGCCACATGCTGTGTTAGACAAACCCAGTGTGTCCGTGCAGCACAAGAGCTGAACTTCACATCCTACCAAGCAGCTTACTACCGCAAATCCTGACAACCAGGGGAAGAGGAGGAAATGACACAATGGAGCCAGCTTGGGCCACTGTGGTCTCAGATGCAGTTTCACATCACTGCTCTTCATCTTGGGGCTGGATAGGAAAATTGGTTAAGTCAGATAACCAGCAAAGGAGAAACCAAGCCATAGAAGAGTTCATCCAGGACTGTCCATTCGCTTTTCTGGCAATTGTCCCAAATACCACAGCTTGGCCATTCAGACAGGGTATAGCCTTAATGGTGAAGAGATTTGGCGCTGCCTTAATGATATAAGAAGTAATTAGCAATCTTTTCATTTAAAAAAAAAAAGAAAAGTTTTTAATGATGAGTTTTCTAGAGCTTTAAAGGATCACAGATCTGGGTCACTGGGTGAGAAAATTTTTTAAGGGTGCAAGAGATTTAAGAAAGCATTTTAAAACTTCCCTTTCTTTCCAAGGAGACAATAAGCATTTCATAAACAGTAACACAGGCATTAGCTTTCCAGTGCAGAGAAACCAGTGATATTTCCTGTGAAACACAAAGATCATGACAAATAGAATTAACAATTAGTAATATTAATAAACAGTAAGTACAAATATTGCAGATGCAGCAGTAGTAACTTTTATCAGGTGATCAGGTACAAGCTATTTCATGTTTTTGCTTCTTCCATACCCTGTAGCACGTTGGCAGGGCTCACTCACAGCAACTTAGCTTGTAGTAGTCTCTATTGACTCTTGCAAGAAAAGCTTCAATTTTCACCCCCAAATGAAACATTAGCTCTGAGTATAGCCCTGCATTGGACAGCATTGAATCATAGCACACTCTTCCTCACCAAATCATCTATTTGGTTTCTAACCACAGATTTAGTTTCTAACCAAATATATGGCTCACAAGTACTTCATCTGCAAAATATAATTAACAGCAGCCCCATGCCCTGGCTTCAGTTTGTTTTAAATTAGGTGCAGTATTTTTGGCTTTGGGAATAGCTGAAGTCTGCATCCGGCAACCAGACAGGGAGATTTTCCAAGGGGCTTTGCAAAGCGATGGGACGGTGACAGGAGAGCAAACAGAGATGCTAAAAGGTACCTGCCTGGTGCTAAGACTGCTGAAGTTGAACAGGGGAAACACGCAAACATGAGAACGCGGTTTAGGAGTCAAAAACTGGCGAGGTGTGAGATAAGTTTATACTCATGAGCTCAAAGGGAAGACATCCGAAGGCAATCCGAACTTCAGCAAGAGCAGAGGAGTTCCTGAAACGTCCAGGAGGGCAGCAAGTCAGTGCTATTTATACGCCTGTGTGCACACCCACACCACGGCTTTGTGACAGCAGGCAGATTGCATCCAATCTGGCGTCCGGCAAACACTCGGGTTTGGGAAGGAAATCGCTGCTAATCAATGGCAGCAAAGGCACAGGCCAGAGGCCAGGAGAGGAGTGCTATACTAATGGACAAAGCAGATGCTGCTGAGTCCGTCGCCGAAGCCAGTGGGCCTGCGGCCAGGGGTTATGGGAGCAGCACAGCCCAGGCTCTTGCTTGGCAGGCTCGGTGATGTGAGTGGGCTCTGGCAGGGCTTGGCCTCCAGCTCTAGCCCAGGACATCTTCAAAGACAAGTAAGTGGAGACTGCTCATCCTCCACCCGGCTGGATGCAGATTCAGTCCTACCTGTCACAGATGCGGAAAGCTCGATCCTCCTGCTGCTGTCAATCGGTCCGATTCGAGCCCCTTCAGCAGAGCACCACAGATTTGCAGTGGCTGACTGTGTTTACAGCTCAGCCCCTGCTGGAATTTTTTCCCTGAAAGCTCACACAAAGCCAAATAAGGAGGAGCGAAGGGTAATGCAAAATCCCAGATATCTCCCCACTCCTGTGACAAAGCTAACTGTTGCTTACAGTCCTGTTCTGTGGCCAATATAAGCTTTTTTTGCCCATTTTAGGTACATGTGTATTAAGCTGAGAGCCGAGTTGTAAGTACATAAGTCAGACAACCTCCTACACAACCTCCCACTGGCCTTTTCATTTTATTTTAACACAAACACAAAAATTGTGAGTAGTTTGAAGATCAATCAAAAACAAAAACGAGAACAAAAAAAAAAAAAAAAAAAAAAAAAAAGAAGGATAAAAGTTACAGCTACAAGAAGGAAACCCGTCAGTAGGTGAGTCTTTTTTTCCTTACAACTGAGCACATTGCCCACATCCAACCACTGATCATCACAGTAAGGCAAACACGAGAACTTTCCTCAAAGTGAGCAGATCAGCAGAGGCAAATCTTTGCTTCTGGGCTGTATTAATGTTCTCCACTGAGAAGAGACAGCTCATGTTTCTTCATTGCTGTGATTTTATTTTAAAAATATCCAAGAAAGTCATTTAACTGCAAACAAGCCATGGAAAATGTTAGCCTGTTGGAGAGCTTGAGAAAATGACAACTGAAAACAGACATGAGAAACAGGGAGATTTTCTAACGTGGCTGCAGCACCGCAGCATTAACTTTATTATTATTATTATTACTTAAAAAAGACAAAAAGCAGCAGTACAACGAGGTTTGGTTATTTTATTTTCCCAAGTCCCCATGCACGCAAACTCTCAGAAAAGAAAACAACCAGCCTCAGCAGTGGCACACAGAGACATTTTGGTGGAGGCAGTGCAGACTTTCAGGAGCACGCACTAAACCACGTTAGCTCTTGCTGTCTGAGCAGCCTCTGAAGCAGCTGTTAAAACATGCTGTAAGATATCAAAGCAGCCCTAATTAACTTCCTGCTCTAGCACTACTTCAAAGTATTTCAGAGAGATTTCAAACCAGAATTTTTGTAGAGCGGTTGCTAAAGGAAAGCAGTTTGAGGGTCATTCATCTCAGACTCTAAACACACTTAAGATTCCCCAGTCGATGTTTTTTTTTATAAAGGAGACAAGAAGGCTATATCCATGGAACATTTCTAGCACACAGCATCACCTGCAACAGCAAAAAGCAGAGTCAATCTCATCTTCCTCCAAACCATCACCTAGAACCAGATTAACCAGTTTGACCCTTCTGACTAAAATTGTCTTGGAGTCTAACTCCAGTTTGCCCAAAAAGGTTAAAGCTGTGTAAATGCACATGCAACTTTGGGTTTGAAATACACTCACTCACACTTAGATTTTTTGTCCGATCTGAAATAGATCACACTGCAGACACTGCACAATCCGCTGTCCAGGGCTAGAATTTATGAACATACTAGCTCACCACTCATGATGTCACATCTGGATGATCTTTCCAGATAAATTCCCAATTCAAGACGGATGCGAAGACCTTGGTAAGGCTCTGCGTCAAGGCCTGGAGCAACCAGCCCAAGAGAAGATGAAAGGGAGCTGGGCTTGAGGAGGGTGAGGAATAGTTCTCAGTCACAACATGAGCAGCAGTGAATGCGGTCAAGCTCTTCTTGGAAGTGAAAGGTGAGCAGAAGGGGTCATGGCCATGGTTCATAGGCTTGGGGTTCTGGTTGGATGTTAAGAAACAACTCATCACTCAAAGGACATCACACATGGAAGTAACCACAGCCAGCCCCTAAGAACAAATGGTTGCTCTTTATAGAAGAAGGCAACATCCTTCTACATCATCACTTCTTCCCACAGGCTAGGTGGGAGCAGCCTCACTGCCGGCTGATTCTACACCAGGAACCAGAGCGATGGCTGGAGCCTTGAGCTCCAAACAGCTTTTTGGGTATCTGCCACATTGTTGGCCCTTTGCTTATGCAGGGCTTCCCAAAGCTCCTGAACGATGATGGTTTTTTGATCCACCACCACTCTCTCATTCTTGAGACATGTTTATTTGTTTTGTCTTTTGTTTTGATCTTTTTTGGTCAAAGAGATATTTTCACATACACCCAAGTCTGCCTCCACTCCAACGCACCAGGGTCTCCAGATAATCCACTTAATGATGCATTTTCTTAGCCTTCAGTTGCAAGAACAGCATTAATAGCTTCCTCATGTGTCTGTCTGAAGTTTATTTGCTAAGCCTCTCTCCATTCCCACTACACATTATGAAGACCTACACACATGAACCCTTGCCATGCTTTGTTTAATAATTTTTTTTTTTCCCAGAAAAGTTGTCATGGCCAAAAATAGAACATTTTTCCATTCTGAAGAGCAAGCAGCATTCCTGAGAATTAAGACAAATAGTGTTGGTCAGAAAATTTCTAACAGACACCAGCGCAGTCTGCGACAACCCAAATCTGCTCTGATCTCTGATGCGGGAAAGTTCAGCATCCTTCTTCCTCAACTGTGTAGAATAAGATCAAAAGCAACACGCCACTTTCTATGTCTTTCTCCATGAGAAAGTCTTGCTACTCTCCAGAGAGACAGTGTGTTGTTTTATTGGTTTTTTTTTTTTTTTTTTTTTTTTTTTAAGAGGAAACGTCTCTTGAATAAATCTAATGCACAAGCCATCCTGCCATCACTATGCACAATACTCAACACTGATATTTTTAGCAAGGCTTACATTTTCTTATTTCCTATTGGAAAGCATACAGGATTTCACAGAACTGTGTAGATTAAAGTTACGTATAATAGTGATTATATTTTCTTTCATATACACAATAGCAAATAAAACTATGTAATAGTGAAACTGCACTGCTGAGGAAAGGTTTGTACAGCAAGAAAGTTCTGGTGATTTTTAGTTTGTTCAGAAAAATTTTCAGTGAGTCTAATACCTAATTAATCACAAGCCTCTGAATCTGAATTTCCCTGGGATATTATCTTGGTTTAATTGAGTCTGTTTAGAAACATGGGTTTTGGTTACATCCATGCAAACAGGGAGCTCCACTTTCAAAGGCATCTTGGGTACTTTAGGAGCTTCCAGGCTCTTTTTTTAAGAGTGAAGGGCAGGGCAAATCCTGAGCTTCATTGACCTTCAGCTATGCTTTAATCACTGATTGCCTTGAAGCTGACTTGGACACTTGGAAATTTTACTGACAATTTCATTAATCAGATACTGTCAATCAAGCTTGAGCTAGCAGCAAGTTACACACTGACAACGAAATTATTTGCATCTGAAGATAAAAGCTCAAGTCTTTTGACAGTATCGTGAACAAATAGCAAAAATAACGCAACTTCAGAAAGCAAAAGCTTTCCTGAGGATCACAAGGACAAACGAACAAACCCTTCTAACCCAAGCTGGGCATCTGGGAGGTCCTTGATGGCCAGTTTTGGTCACTGTCACTGACAGTCACTGTCACATCCCCAGAAAAGCAGTACCCTTTAACTTAGTGCAAGACTCCAGTACTGCTTGAGCAGATGTGCCCTTGCAATTCCAAGCAGCATCATCTTCTGTCTGGCTGCCGCATTCATCTTAACTCTAGGCTGATCTCCTATCACATCAGCTTCCAGCTTGTTGGCAGTGGAGACCTTGTTCTACCAGTTTCTGCACACTTGGGCAGAGTTGCGTGTTACTGGACTTCCACAGCACTTTTTCGGAGGTTAAACATGCTATTGATCCTTCATTTACAGGGGGAAAAAGAATAGTTTCCTATTCTATTAGACAAATTTGTGGCCACATTTTACAGAATGGTCTGGAAGACCATTGCCATTAAATTGAACTTAGAGAAATATTTGCAGCTCGTGATTTTATTGTTCTCAGAAAAACTCACCCTTTTGGCAAAAGTTTTCATGCAAAAACATCCATCTGAATGGAGGATTCTCTGTGTAAGCTGTGGGGCCCTCAGCAGTGTTTGGTGGAGGAGAGGATGAGCTCTTTCCCAGCTACAGAGGAAAACAACATGCTTGAGTCTCCATTGCACCTAACAGGAGGCCAATAGCTGAACCTCCATCCCAAGCGCCACTGAACACAGGATGCTCCACTGGCAATGTCTGTCATGGACACAGGGATGCTAAAATCTGAAAATCTTTTGTTTTCTTTCTTCATTTCAAAAGAATATAAAGAGTAGGAATCCTTAATATTCAAAGCATCCATGGGTTTGCAAAACCACCAGCATCCCAGCTCAATGGATAACTCTGGTAGCCTGGAGGAGGGAGAGAGGCTGGAAAGACCCTAGATGAGGTTGCAAATATCTCTTGCTGATTTGACCCATAGCTATCACCTAATGGACTTGTGGAAAATGTATTTCATCTGCGTGGCATATACAGGTTAATTTATTTGCTTAACTTATTCCAAGTTTAATCCAAACAGCCAAAAGATTCCTATGTAAGAACTGGCAAAGTCCAAGCACATGCAAGCCCCATGAAAACCTGGTGGGTTTATGCTTTGTCAGGCCTCAGATTTGGTGAGAGTCAGAGATGTGTTGGCAAAGAGACTTGCTGGATGAAGAAAAAGAAAAATCAGTTTGGGCTTCTTTTTTGGTGTCTAACTCAATAAAATAATGAAATATATAATCCACAGAATTAAGTGCAGAGCTGGTCCCACATCTGAATAACATTTCCTTCCACTTCACATACAAGCTTTGATATGAACAAACAGTTGTTACACAAATACAGAACAGAGACCCAATCGAAACAGTATATTTAACTTTGTTATATAGAGTAAAGTTAGAACACATTCGTGAAGAAGGAATGAACTGCAGGCTTCAGACTTGGACACATTACCAGGATTCCAGCAAAATAAAAGAAAACCAGATGGATACAAGGAAAAGCGACAAGGAGAGAACAGAGGGGAAAGTACTCACTGGGAGTACATGATGGGCAAGGAAAGATGGACACTGCAAAATATCAAGAGATGGAACGGGCCATTATTTGGCCTCCACTGTCACACAAAGAAGAGCAAAGCCTGTACTGACTGGCCATGGGCATTGGAGGAGAGAGCCACCTGATAGCATCTACCATGGATTTACCATTCAATGCATCAGCACACAGCTTACACCTGAGGTTCGTGGGTGCTGGATATGGCCTTGTGGTTGGTTAGAGGCTTCTACAATAAAAGGTCATAGATCAAAGCCAGATGTCTGCCACCTCCAGGCTGAAATGATCCACGATCAGCATATTTAGGATCAAAAATCCTTAAAAGGATGCTTTGGCTCAAGCTGATGTTGCATACAGAAGTGGCTCTGAATGAGGAAGCCTGAGGAGGTTGGACTGAAGGATTACAGCTGCTTTTTTTCAGCCCTGAAGAGGCAGGTACCAATTTAGAGAAATCTAGAGCAGCAGCCAACAGAGTAGATTATTTCTGCGTGGAAGAAGGGAAAAGGGCTCAAACAAACCAGATTTTTCTCAGGCCCCAGCTGTTCCGCAGGAGCCCCAAAAATCTTTGCCAGTTGCAGTGAGTCTGATGCATTGCACCAGAAATCAAAGTGGGAACCACATCAGCTCACAGTGAACAACCACAAATAAGATAAAAATCAGCTTTCAGCAGCAAGTGGAACAAAAGCTAAGCTGCAGCTACAGAGAGATCAACAAGCTTGGAGGCTGCAGATGGGCAGTGCTCCTGCACGGGTCATTCCAGACCTGAAGCAGCAGCTGATAGCTTTTAACAAGGAATATAGGCCTGGAGTATCTCATGAACATGGTGCAGAGACAGAGCACCAACTCCAACATGTGATTAAAAAAAAAGTATTACTAGGCAGAAGCACTGCTAGACTGTCTCATTATTCAAAACATTTATCCAAGAGCAAGTCTCCCAATTAAGCTACTCAGCGGGCTTCAATAAAAGAGAAGCAAACACGCGCTTGAGATTGAAAATGATGATTACACTCTTACGATGTTAGATTCAACACAGAGTCCAAAGAGAAATAGCATTTTTACCAATAATATTGCATCATCTACATCGACAGCCTATCTGCCTGTACTATACATGCAGCATACTGTACGCATACACTATCAAAGACCTGTATTGTTGGCACATGCAATGGCCTGTTGCACATATAAATCTCCTGGAGTAACTCATCTGCACCTCACCAGGTGTCAATGACATGCCACTAGTTACATCCCTCACACAGAGGATGACCCAAAACTGAACAACCTCATGGGAAATGAAAACTTTGTACAGGACCATAAGTCACAGCTGCCATTTAAGTACCAAGGCAGAATGTAGTGGCTGTGCAAATAACTTCTATAAAGATGCTTTTACTGTGGTATAAAACATGAGATTTTTTTTTTTTTCCCCATCTTTCTTTTACCAAAGTATTGCTTTGCCAAGTAAAATTCAAACTAGAAGTCTTCAGCCTGGAGAAGAGATGCCTTTGCCAGAGAACCCCAAAATCACAAGTAGAAGAGAAGGGAAGAGCAGAGGATTTGGCCTCCCGCTGTCTCTTCCAGTGCAATAACCAGAAGTGATTAACTGCATTTTGTAGTAAAACTCATTAAGGAGCTGCTGCTTCTCACCCTAGATCTTTAAGATCTGTGAAAACCCTTACCCAGAGGCAGTGGTTGCAAAGAATGCATCAGTTTGAAGGGACACTGGACCTGTGCTTTGAAAAGAAATACACTGAAAATTACTAAATAGTGCAGCCAGTTCAGGAAATCCCGAGCCACCAACTGGTTTTGGGTGCAGGCTGATCTCTTATACGTGCACCCTGCTCTTAATCATCTCTGAACAGCTGTCTCCAGCCACCGAGGCAGGACAGCACTTTCAGTAATCATGAAGTCAAACAGTTGTATTGCTGCACAGATGCGTACTCAAAACTGTTATTCTTACACCTGCAGCAAGATGCCAAGATGAAAAAAAAACAACCACTGTATCAAGTTGTCAAATCACTGCCAAATTTCAGATCTGCCTTCGGATACTCAGTTATTTGGACACATAGCATTCTTTATCTCCCTTCCATCTCACTTTGCCTCACCTCCACCTTCCCAGCTCTCCCTGCTGCTTCGCCAATCTCGCTTTGTCCAAACTTTTGGAAGAGTGAAGTCAGAAGGTATTACCCAAATACACAATGGTGTAACTGCTCCCATCATCGGGTTGCGTCTCATCCCTAGGGTCTCTTAATTCTTCATTAAGAAAGTGGAAAGGAACCACGTGCTCCACATGGAAGGGAACTAGACTTCTCAAGTTTGCTGCACATGAATGCACACAATTTTAAATCAATCACTCTAGCCCAACAAGCAGATGTGCAAACATGCTGAACAGCAATGGCTTTTACCAGAAGGAAGTGACAAGCAGCAACAGGCCCACTTCTGCCATGAGTCACCGTTGCGAGCAGTTTTTTGGAGAGAAATTGCCCAGAGCAGTGGGCATCAGACGGGGAGCACCAAAGCAGCAGTCAGTGTTGATCACCAATCTATGGGCTTGGAATTGTGCAAGTCCAAACGAGCTCACAGAACTGCTGCAGGAAGCAGGCTACTAGATAAAAAGTTCAGCTGCAGGCACATATCAGATGAACTGGGTATGTTGTTTCATCTGAAGAAAAGGCCATGAACCTGATTAGAAAAGCACACTCCTCAGAAGTTCGATGAGTATCAAAGCAGGAACATCAGGTTGCTGCCACCAGCAAAATCACGCCCTGGGCATCTTACCATCAGCAGATGATCTGATTTTGGTTTGCCCAGGCTGCTTCCTCACCCTGCTGATGTGGCCAGCACGTTTCATACCATGGTTTTGAGAACCATTACGGTCAGCTCTTTTCTCTTAGTAACCACTTATGTTGCACCTTCTGTAAGCACTCCTCTTCAAACTTGTTTGCCACATGGACTCCTTTTAATAAGTCAGTCCTTCCTCCTGTCGCAAAACCTTGCAGCCACAGCAGCTCAACTGCCTCTCAAAGAAAGCATAACAGCAATTACCAGCCTGATCTCAAGCTCTCCCATCTTGCCTCCTCTCTCTACTTATAAAACAGGGCTGGCTTAGAGATCCCAAACCAACCTCCTTTCTCTGGCATGCTGCTGTACACAGCCTCTCTCTGGCCATCAAAGCAGCTCCAGGGCACATGCACCTCCCAGTGCTGCCTCTTCCCACTTCCCTGGCAGGACTGGACTATGAACACCAAGCAGAATAAGCAGCACAGTGAATGCATCTGCACGCGACAGCATTCACCCATCCATCCCTCGATATTGCAAAATGTGCCAAAGTCCTAACAGACTAGTCCCATCCTTCTGGAGGAGCTTGGAGTTGTGCTCCTGCATTGCTCTGAACCTAAATAATCCAAATTTCTTGCTGCAGAACTTATTTAGGGAAGAAAGAATACCCAACATATGACCCTGACCACTGTGGCTTTCACATGGATGTGCTGCATTCTCGTTTTTTTCCTCCTTTGCTTACTTAAGAGCTTGGCTTTCTCCATCTAAGCTAACCTTACAACAGATGTAACAGCTCAGATGAGGTTCCTCAATCCTCAAATCCATTTCCATTTCAGGCAATTGTGAAAGAGGACAGGGAGGACAAGAGGAGGAGGAGGAAAAGCAGGTCCTTAGAGTTATCACAACTCAACCAGACAAAGCCAGATTGAGGAAGGACACTAGTTCTGTTCCAAACAGGAGGCTGAACTACAGACCCTGCAGAGCGTAAGCAACATTTCCATGATGCTGCAAAATAGGCATCTGCAGGAATGCAGTATTCTCCTGAGAGCATTGCTCACCCTGCTTCTAGCTGTCACTGTCCTTAGTGTTTCACATGACCAAAAATACCCTCCACAGGCCGACAGTTAAAAATGCTGGGGATTTACTTCTACCTGCTTGATCAATGCAGCCACTGGGCACTGTGGGGCAATGCAAACTACAGGCTGGCACGAAGAATTCCATAATTCCACCAGCAAATCTTGCAGACATTGGTCAAGAGAAACTGCTAAAGTTGGGATTTTTATCAAGTAAGTAGGCTTTTCATCCTACTTAAACAAAAGTTGCCCAGTCCCATCTTATTGCCCTATAATACGATCTCCAAATCTTATCCCCAAGACTTTGCCAGATGGGGGCTCACTGCAGCACTGGTCATTGGATGTTTCTCTGCAAACTCAAGCAATGAGATTCAGAGCTTAAAGTCTCATTTTGTAGAAACTTTGGGAAGTGGCCTTAATCCTCTGGTGCAGAGGAGCCTCCAGGCTGTTATGAGACACTGAAGAGAGGACAAAACTTTCAAGAAAGGAACGTCTTTAAGAAGTTCAAAAGGACGTCTTTAAGAAGGTATTAGATGCAATGAAGACATCAGAAATGATGAAGCAAAGCATCTCCACTAGACCTGAAGAAACCAGTCTGGTTTGCAGCAGGTACCATTATTCATGTACTGTGTGCTGATGTAGGACATTGTCCTGGAGAGACACTGTAAGCAGCAAATTCCCTGGTTCGTTAAGCAGGGCACAGCATACAAGCTGTGATCTCAAGTTCTCACACCAAACCTTTCATCCCTTTCTACACAGAAGAGCTAAGCTGAGAGCCAGTAGAGCAGACAGCCCTCTGGAGTTCACACAATCCCAGCCTGGCAGAAGCACCTCCCTTCTCTTCTACTCTTCAGTATTACTCAGTATTTTCCAACTCAGCATTTCCCACATTTCCAGCCCATCACTCTTCCAATGACTAAAATCAATGATGTTCAAGCCAACCTCTCTCCAAACTATCTCCCTTTTGAACTCAGCCCTCCAGATGGCTCTCAGATCTTTCTCAACAGCTGTTTTACACTATTTTTGCAAAACCTCATCACATCTCTCTGATCACGCTCCATCACTCCTTTCCTTTCACAAGTTCCATGTCTCCACCCATCTATTTTCAGTATCACCTTTTCCCACCATAGAGCTATCTATGTGACACAAGGCACAAGAAGAGTCCTCAAAAAATAAAGCTGCACAACTCACCATTCCCATTTGGCTGCATGAAGGTGAGCAGGTTCCCACTGCACATCAGCAGCTGAGCCAAACCTGCTTGCTGCTCTTATGCTCCTCCAGATCTATTCCTTGAAGAAAGCAGCCTAAAAGCCTTTTCTCCTTGCCATGCCTTCACAGTAGAGCTAAATAAAGCTGAAATAAAGCTGAACAAGAGAACAAAAAGGAGTCATCTGCCCTATGCTGCAAGAAAGACACCAGTGCCTGAGATGTTCAGAAGCACAAAGAAAAATGAGCAGAGAACAAGAAATGCACAAAAGAAACAAAACACCACAAAAAGCCTCAAAACACAAGGAAAAGATGCCAAGAGGGGGAAAAAAAAGTGCATTTTTATTATAGTAGCATACATCACCACTCATTTCATCACCAAAATGCCAAACAACTACAGAAAAATGAGAAAAAGCATTTAAAGCCAGGTTGCTACCAACGTAACTCCTCCCAAAAGAGGTGATTTGAAACTCAGTCCGCAGTTTTTAAAAAAAGATCCGGTGAATTATTAACAACCACATTACAGCAGTCTTTCAAAAAGAGATCTGCACAAGGCATGCTGCTGCCTGCTGCCCCATAGGGGCAACGAGGGCCAGCAAGCACCAGCAGCACAGCTGGGCAGGTGCTACCAGGAACAGTGTACAGGGATGGGCTAAGCACTGGATCACACGCCCTCCAGCAGCAACAGGATGGGAACAAAGGAGATGTTCTACCCACATCTCAACAGCACTTTCCACCAATCTTCATAAGAGGACCTCCTCGCAGACATGCGTGTACTTAAGGAAGCCGCTCAACAGACTGAACGCTGTGCAGATTGCTTCCCATCCCTCCTTTCTACATCGCCCTACTCTCTTTTCATTTTCTGTCTGAAAACTAAGCCTACCCAAGGAAGCAGTGCGTACTTACAAACCACAGGGCAGTGGTTGCTGCTCTATCACAATGGTGTGAAGACCTAAACTGTGCCACTCACAAGGAAGGGCCAGGGCACCAAACATCTCAGATTTTGATGCTTAGCCAGATATAACACA